GGCGAGTCGGGCTTCTTCTTGCGGTGTCTTCGCACTATTGGGGTGTACGGAGACTTAATAGCACGTGCACGTCGTATGATGCGTGAACTCTGTCGTGCAAGAAAAACCCGACGTAAAGCATCCACCTTATCGGGCTGCTAAATAATTAAATACAAAAATCAGTAAATAAACAGACATGATATTTAAACAGTGAAAACAAAGACAAATATGTTTCAAACTTGCATTGAATTCACCCAAGTCATTATTCTATCATAGTTCACAAAATGCATCAGATAACAAAGGCAAATATGTTTCAAACTTGTAACACTGTCAACTTAGTATTTGTCTTTGTCTATTGGTTGAAGTAATACAATTCATTCATGTTTCAATTTGCAGAAGAAGAATAGTTTCTGGAACTTAAAATCGCAACGTGAAAAATGACTATCGCAACCCGAAATGAAAATCGCAACGAGAGAATGAAAATCGCAACGCGAAATGAAAATCGCAACGAGAGAATCGCAATGCGAAATGAAAATCGCAACGCGATTATAGTTTCGCGTTGCGATTTTTGGTTTCGCGTTGTGATTTTCATTCTCTCATTGCGATTTTCATTTCAACCTAAAGACAAAACAGTGTTGCTAAAATATAGTTTCAAGAATAAACTATTTCTTCTTCTTCTGCAAATTGAAACTTGAATGTATTGCATTACTTCAACCAAAAGACAAAACAAAGACAAATACTAACTTCAGAGTATTAAAGAATACACAGTTTAGCAGAATTGACAGCAAACGAACAAATTTACTTTCAACCAAAAGACAAAACAAAGACAAATACTAACTTCACAGTGTTAAAGAATACACAGTTTAGCAGAATTGGCAGCAACCGAACAAATTTACTTTCAACCAAAAGACAAAACAAAGACAAATACTAACTTTACAATGTTAAAGAATACACAGTTTAGCAGAATTGACAGCAACCGAATAAATTTACTTCAACCAAAAGACAAAACAAAAGACAAATACTAACTTCACAGTGTTAATAAACAGTTTAGCAGTATTGGCAGCAACCGAATAAATTTACTAAGCAATCTAAGTGAAATGGTTAATCTAAGTGAAATTATGAGTAAATTTATCATCAAGTTAAATATGGAAAATCTTAAACTTACCTCGTTGCGTAGAGTATGAACCTCATTCTGCACCGATACTACCATCTCACGTAGAGCGGCAACCTCACCACATAAAGTAGACACCTCCACATGTCATGCACCATCGTTATCGCGTAGAGTACCGATCTCCTCACGCAAGGCATTGACCTCATCACGTAACTCCCTTGACTCATCCCGTGGAGGTGGAGAACAGGGAGATAGAAGTCGTGGCATCTTTGTCGGTCGCCTATCATGAGGTGATGGTGGAGAAGAGACTCGATGATGTGACGGGATAGGTGATGGCTCTCGTTGTAGAGGTGTATAGTCGGGTCGATCAGGTGATGGCTCTGGGTGAGGTGATGGCTCTCGAAGTGGAGGAAGTGGAGGCTGCTCATTATTCGTGCCATCAAGAAAACGCTGACTAGCTTGCCACCAATCAGTGGCAAGCTCAGCCTCCGTGGGTGTCAGTCTCATTAATGGAGTGTTAGCCTCCTAAAAATATAAAAACTCAAACAAAGTTAAACGTCTACTATTAATAACTTGTTTATATATGATAGTATTTATGTTAACTTACATTATTTATTGTCGCATATGGTATTAAGTCTTCCCAATCCAACAGACGTTTCCTCTTCCAGGAAATAGCCCTAGGAATATCATTTGAAGTTTTTAATGCATATGTCCGCATGCTGGGGAAAGCCTCGAATATCCAAATCTACAAACAATATAATAACAAACATTAGTAATTGTTAAATAATTAATTATAATTTTGAAAACATTATATAGAAATTCTTACCTTAAAGGCCCAAACAAAGCCTGACAAAGTGTATTTCGACCCATCGCCACGCAAACTTTTGCGGTCATCAAAGGCAGACGACAACTTAGTCCATGTAGCTTTCCATATATACGAACCCCACGGAAACAGATTCCATGCATTTAGGTCCTCTACCAATAATATTAGCTCCTGAGGAATAGGTTGTCTGGCCTCTCTGCCTAAAAAGCCGGCATACAAAAGTAGTAGAAGGCATACTCGGACAACATCGACGTCATTCATCCGAGTAAAACCATCTTTCTTATTAAACAATTTCTTCAGGTCGTCGACGTGTAAGTTCGGCTTCTCTATTGACTCATCAGGAAAAACCCTGGATAACCATGATGGGCGGGTGATATGACGAGTGTACCGGCCTACATCATCGTGTCCGAATCGTAGACCAGTGATTAAGCAGAACTCCTTCCGCCCAAAACAAGTATACGCCGGTGGAAAATGAAACCATATCTCTTCCTCACCACGTTGTATACTGTCGGGTAGATCGCTAGTCATGGTCTGAAGCCACAAATGGGTCAAATTAGCATCTCCACCCGGATGCTGTACTCTCAGCCATGGCTCGAAGCAGGTTTCCTCAAACAATTTTCTTTGTGCATGTGAAAGCTTCGAAGCAATTGTAGTGGCTAGGCTAAGTTTATTCCTTAATGTCAATGAAGCCGAAAAAAATTTCTACAAAAACAATAAACATACCAAGTTAGATATACCAAAAACTACACTGTGAAGATATACCAAAAACAATAAACATAAATAGTAGTTTATTCTTGAAACTAAAATTTGCAACACTGTTTTGTCTTTTGGTTGAAATGAAAATCGCAACGAGAGAATGAAAATCGCAACGCGAAATGAAAATCGCAACGCAAAATTAAAATCGCAACGCGAAATGAAAATCGCAATGCAATTTTGGTTTCGCGTTGCGATTTTAATTTCGCGTTGCGATTCTCTCGTTGCGATTTTCATTTCTCTCGTTGCGATTTTCATTTTCGTGTTGCGATTTTCATTTTCATGTTGCGATTTTAAGTTTAGAAACTATTCTTCTTCTGTATTACTTCAACCAAAAGACAAATACTAACTTCACAGGGTTAAAGACTAAACAGTTTAGCAGTATTGGCAGCAATCGAATGAATTTAATAAGAAATCTAAGTGAAATGGTTAATCTATTATTGAAATTACCAGTAAACTTATCATCAATTTCAATATGAAAAACCTAAAATAATGCAAAATTTTCAAAATAAAAATAATTAAAAAAACTAACCATCGTAGGTTGATTTTCCATTTCTGAATGATTGTTAGGGATTTCTGACCGTGAATGGTTGTGAGGGATTTCGCCGGCGATGGGGACGGAAATTTTCGGAGATGGGGACAGATTTTGCCGTAGAGAGTGAGAGATGGAGATGAGACTGAGTTGTGATTTTAGCTTTTAGGTTATGAGTTGCGATTACGGGATATACTGTGGACGGTTCAGTTTTCGATATATTAAGAAATTCGTGTTTGGAATTTGAAAAAAAAATACACGTTAATACGAATGGCGCTATGTAAATCGCATTGCGATAGTCAGATTCGCATTGCGATTTACGTATTCGCATTATGATTTACGTAATCGCGTTGCGATTTACGTATTCGCATTGCGAATTAGGAAAATCGCAACGCGAATTTGGGAAATCGCAATGCGATAGTCAGAATCGCGTTGCGAATCTGGAAACTGATTTGCGATACCGGAGATCGCGTTGCGAATTATCGATCGCATTGCGATTTAGTTTGTCATTTTGGCGAATCCAAAAAAAATTGGTTAAAATCGTATATTATAAGACTTTTTTGATCAATGGAGTTATTTTCTCATCATATTTTTGGAAATATAGTGTATTTTAAATATTTATTTTTGGAAAGGGGTGTGTGCTCAATCGACCAAACTTCAGCCGTGGTAAAATAAGCTATTAAAGGTGGGGCCAAAGAGGAAACAGGGGAGGAGTCATAAACTGGAGAAAGATGAATCCCCTGAGGAGAATAAGAAAGCCATCAAGAGCTCACGGTGGGTCAATGAGGCGACGATCAGCATCTGCAGCTCTGAGGGCCATCTCCGGTGCGTCTTCTATCCAAAAACGGTCACTAGTGCTTCTAAATCCCGTTGAAGCCACTGCATGTGCTGCTTGGTTTCCTTGTCGTCCGATGAATGTGAAGGAGCAAGATTCAAGGTGGTTCGCCAAGAACTTAGCATCTCCGATCGTCAACTCAATCACCGATGGGTCGGTCTCCTTGGTGTTTAGTTTTGAAATTATGGTTCCTGAATCATTTTCCACCACTATCGACCGAATGCCTAAATCCAGGATGAATTGCAACCCGTGGATGACTGCCAAAGCTTCTGCCATGAACGTTGAACAAAGAGGAATAAACCAAAAATCAAATTAACACAATATTCTCTTGAACAAAGAGGAATAATATACCAAAAGGAGATAAACTACAATAGTAAAAAGACAAAGAAATCTAATAGAAAAATAAATTACATAAATATTCAAGGATTGATTGGAAAAGCCGACGCTTTTGGATAATTCGTTGTCAAATCTCATGTATGGCTTCGCCAAATCTCAAGTGGGGTCATATCGATGGATTATCGAGACAATCGTTTTCTTTAAAATTTTTAAATTATTATATATTTAAATATTTTTATTAATAATTTATTTTTATATTCTAAATTTTTATAAATTTTTTTCGTTTTAAAATTTTAAAAATTTCATTTATAATAAAAATTATATGTTTGTCTTTAATCTCACAAACCCTCCACTTGGGGTCCACGTCGACATAAACGTGCTTCTTTTGATTCTTTCCCACAACCAAACAAAACATAATCAAAGCCCCCCAAAATATTTGTCCTAAAACCAGCTCATTTTTTCTTACAAGGAAAAAGCAATAATTTCTCATGGTGTATATTGCTCCACGTGTTCTTACCTTACTCGTCAGCACCTAGATTTCCACCCTCCATGGTCACTAGATAGATAGCCTAACACATCCCCTTAAGGCAAAACCAAATCAAATAACAGGCGTACAGCAAATTTGCAACATCAGACGTTTTAGTCCAAACTCCAAAGAGAACCTTAAAATTGCTTTGATGGGAAGCGTCAGGGGACTAACGGGAGGCTGGGGCATGGCTACAAAGATATGTGATATATGTAAATCGACCGCGGCCGCTATTTTTTGCCGTGTCGATTCGGCTTTTATGTGCCTGAATTGTGATTCCAGGGTCCATTCTGGTACCAACAAGCTCGGCTCTGCTGCTCGGCATGAGCGGGTGTGGATGTGCGAGGTGTGCGAGCAGGCGCCTGCTGCTGTTACTTGCAAGGCCGATGCTGCTGCCCTTTGTGTTACTTGTGATGCCGATATCCACTCCGCTAATCCCCTGGCTCGTCGTCATGAGCGTGTCCCTGTCGAGCCTTTCTTCGACTCGGCGGATGCCATCGTCAAATCTTCCCCTTTTAGCTTTCTCGTCCCGACCACCACGGATCACGATTGCTGCCAACAAGATGATGTAGAAGCGGCGGGTTCGTGGTTGTTGCCGAACCCGAACCTCAATCCGAAACAGGCAGTGGAAACTAACGAAGTCAAAGCTGGTGGTGATTTGTTCTTCTGCGAAATGGATCCTTTCTTCGATTTCGAGTACCAGAACATGTTCCAAGTCCAACATGATCATCAGAACGCAGCTATGGATAGCGTTGTCCCGGTTCAGACCAAGCCAGTCATCAACAATGAAAATTGTTTCGAAATCGAATTTTGTCGGTCCAAGCCTCCTACTTTCAGCTTCCAAACTCCGTCTCTCAGCCATAGCGTAAGTACTTCAGTAGTTCAATTCTCTCTTTCCTTAATTACACGATCAATAAATCTCTGTAAACTGATGGAAAATGGTAGAAAACTTTCAGGTTTCATCATCTTCACTGGATGTAGGTGTAGTCCCAGACGGGAATTCCATGTCCGACCTGTCGTATTCTTTCGGACGAACCATGACCGACTCAAGCGGACCGATGTCGGCAACCACGACGAGTAGCCAAGCAGGCGGGATGGATCGAGAGGCTAGAGTTTTAAGGTACAGAGAGAAGAGAAAGAACAGGAAATTCGAGAAAACAATCCGATACGCCTCACGAAAGGCGTATGCCGAGTCGAGGCCGAGAATCAAAGGCCGTTTCGCCAAAAGGACTCAAACGGACAACGACGTCGACATCATCTTTAACCCGGCTTCTACGGCTGCCGGTTTCATCTCCGACACCCAATATGGTCTCGTCCCATCATTCTGAAAATTGAAGAAGAAGATAAAAAGGGGCTACTTATTTAGCTATGGCCCTGTGATATTCAACAGTTATTTTTATCCAGCAACTAGAATAACTCTATAGGTCCATTGAAGTTAAGCAGAAACAAAATATCCAGTGTTTTTAATTCCGTTTTTATGTAAAAAGAAGTAATGTATCCATGGAGGTTTTTCTTCTTCTAATTCCCAGATTCAAAGATGATAAGTTGCAGAGAGATGTTAACCGATCATCAAACTATGAATCTGTTTCTCAATCCCTATTGGCCCAGTTTTTTTCAATTCAAGTATTGTTCAAGTATATTATTTTTTTAACAATACAGGGAACAATAGTGGGCTGAATTAAAAAAAAAATCCAGTTTTTCTGGAAGTTTCCCCGACATGCTGATTGGCATAATGACCTTAACTCTTGGCTGGATGTGACAGCCTCGACTTGCCCAGAAAAGAAACTCACATTCCTAACTAATAAAACAATATCTAAAACATTTTATATTTTTAGTATAAATTTTGAGATACATAATCATATAGTATCTTTTATTTTGTATATATTATATTTTAATTTTTTAAAATCATATTACATAAATCAAATTATCTCAATAATTACCATATTATTTGAACATCTTAAACGATAAAAACATTTAAACATTATTTTTTAAATAATTAAAAATATTTAAAAAAATATTCCTTTTAATTTATCTTAGATTAATAAAAAAAATTACCACCATATTCCTTTCATTTAATGGCACCGTCCCACTGATCTTAAAATAAATAGTAAATTTAAATTATAATTTATTACATATATTACTTAAAATCAACGTGTATACTTTTTTCGGGTAAATAGTATACATAGATTTTCGGGTTATTATCTACTTACATCATGTAAATTTTTTTAGTTTTATACAGATTTAGAACCGTTGGATGAATGAAAATAGATGATTCAGATTGACTACTTGTTTTTTTCAATGAATATCTTCTCATTTCCTACTTTTAATCCCATCCATCTATTTTCATTCATCCGACAATCCTAAATGCATATAAAACTAAAAGAATTTTACATTGTATAATAAAATTATACCCTTTAAATTTTCAGGGTAAATAATTTTAGAAGAATATATCAAAATCTCTTACAAGGAACGCTGACAAAGAGTAAAGATTATTTGAACAATTTAAAATTATAAACGGACCATTCAATTTGAATTGACTTTTTGCCTAACCTCTAGCAATTTAATCGAAGTATCCAGAGAAAATAAATGGGAAAGTAATGGATTTGAAAAGAAAAGTATAAACTATTTAATTTCTTAATTAAGGTTTAATTAAGGTTTAATAAGATCAATTGACTTGCTCAACGTTTTTTTTAAGAAAAATGAATAAATTATATTCCAATAGCAGCAAGGATAACAAGTTGTTTGACACATTCAGGCTCATCAAGATAAAACCAAATTGGATTGGGGTTCGATAAAGCTCATTGAGCTAGGAAGTGAGCAGCCCTATTAACTTCTCGATTAACATAGTGGACTTTGAACGATCGATTACTTTCAAGAATCGAGTGAGTTTTATTGAGCAACAACCGATTGTTGATAAATCATCTTTTCGATTGGCCAGCTTGTTCATCACTAATATGGTGTCCCCTTCGATAATGATCTCCCTCAATCCATTTTCCAGTGCAAACTGTAATTCAAAGGTAAAAGCCATGCCTCAGTAGATTCCGCCGAGTTTGAAGGATCAAGTTGGCGGGTATGCCCACCAAGAACAAGACCATGAGAATCCTGAGCCACAACACCAATTGCGGTCTTTTGGAGGTTGGCACAAAAAGCATCGTCCATATTGATCTTGATAAACTCTCGATCCGGTTTTAACCAATAGAATGACCTATTAGGTTGATCAGAGGGGTTACCTACGATGAGAGGTTGGTTAGTTTCTCTAAATTCTCTAATAATACCCCATGCATTGACAATAATATCCCTATCAAATTGAAGCTGTGTCTTGTGCGGTCGTTTGTTCATGCAATTCTATATGTTCCAGAGAAGGGTGAGGAACAGGTCAAAGCCTTCATGATCTAATTTTGAAGCAGCCCAAAGCAGTCAATCCTTACAAGAGAAGCAATTTCAATTAGCAACTGAGTCAGGAAGTCCAGAAAGCCTGAGGATCGATTTTGTCTTGGGACAGTTCTTGACAACATGTATAACGGTTTCAAGCTCTTCATTGTATAGACCACAAATGCCCTCCATGACGTGAGCCTATTTTAATTTGTCTCCGATAGGGATAGCGGCATGGTAAAGTCTCCATCCAAAGATTTTAATCTTTGGAAGGGTTCGAGACTTCGTGTGATATTCCACACACGGTTTTGGTCGGGAGGGATCCCTTTCCTTAGCATGAACCAATTATATCCTGATTTGGCCGAGTATCTACCCGAGATATGATGGTACCAAAGTGTTTTATCGCTAAGGATGTGGCCAATAATAACTCCAAGTACTTTCGCAACATCCGCGTCATCAAGTGTGATTCTAACTTTTATCCCATCCCACCTCGAGAGGTCAGGCAGCATAAATTCCGAGCATCGAATAGGATTATCAACGTTATCCATACAATGACATACCCATTCCACGGGATAAGAGTCTCCCCACCAATCCAAGAACATTTGAGCTTTACTGTTGACACCAATTCTCTAGAAGAAACCGTCCTTAATGGCCCCTTTCGCCTTATGGGTACTGGACCAAGCAAACGAGGCTCTATCTCCCATGCCAGTATTAAAGAATGAGGAGTGAGGGAAATACTTTGCCTTGAGGAATTTAAAAGTCAGATTTTTTGTCTTGGATTAGCCGCCACATTTGGTTGCCAAGGAGAGCAATGTTAAAGAGTTGTAGGTCCCTAAATCCCATACCACCGTTCCTTTTTTATCGACAAACCTTATCCCACTTGAGCATAGCCCAGCCTCTCAGATTTTGTTTCCCTGACCACCAAAAAGAGTAAGCCTGAGATGTAAGCGCCTCAAGGATACCTTCAGGTAACATATAGTTGGACATGGCATAGGCTGGAAATGCTTGAACCACCGACTTAATAAAAACCTCATGGACAAAAGAAAGAAGTCTCTTGGCACAACCTTGGATGTGTTTGGCCGACCTGTCTTTAATAAAATTGAAGGCTACGATTTTTCCCTTACCCACTGCAAGCGGAAGACTAAGATAGTTTCCTGATTCATCTTTCTCCACCACTCGAAGAGTCTCCATGATAGCTTTGCGGTTAAAAGCGGGGGTATTAGGGCTGAAAAAAATGCTTGACTTCTCATAGTTAACTTTTTGGCCCGAGGAAGGCTCATATTGTGATAGGGAGTCCTTGATTCGCCTAACTGCAAAAATGAAGTTCTTGACAAAAAGTATGTTGTTGTCAGTATAGAGCATATTTGAGATCCTAGGTCCTCAGAAGCTAGCACACATTCCCTGTATCTCTCCCGTACTTTACGTCTTCAATAAAAGAATAGAAAGTCCATGAGCACAAAAAAGGAACAGTTATAGGGACAACATGTCTCTTTGGTGGAGTTCTCATTTAGGGAGAAAAACATTGGACATAGCACCATTGATACTGATTTGAAAGGAAATTGTACTGATGCAATTTGGAATAAGATTTACAAAAGTATGATCAAATCTCATCTGTAACATTACATTAATCACAAAGTCCCATTCAACTTGGTCATAAGCTTTCTCCATATCAAGTTTAATGGTTGTGCCCTTGTTAGGGCCATTTTTGTAACCCTTAAGATAATGGATTAACTCATAAACAACTAAGAAATTGTCATAAATTTGTCTTTTCGAGACGAAAGCACATTGGTTATTAGCAATGCAATTAGGGATAATGGACTTAAGCCTATTAACAGTGACTTTTGACACCACTTTGTATATGATCGTGCAAAGGCTAATCGGAGCCAAACAACTCGGAGCCAATTTATCCATACAATGATCACACCAGACTTCAGATTCATTCTCAAAACCTCAACCCAATTTATTCTTTTCTGACCATTTACACATGCATAGAAGAAGGTAATGTTCATGTCACCTTCTCGGAGCCAAACAACTCGATAGCGCTGCTGCCAGTAGGTTTCATCCTTATCAATAATCTTCTTCAGTTCTGCTCCCACATCATAAAGTCTATTCACTACCAAGTCAAAAATCAGATCGGCTTCCAAACGTTAGATTTTCTCCCAAACCTTTTTTCATCTTGTTTAGCTTGTTACATTCTCTTCCTTTACCAGATCTTGAGTCGATTACCCACCACTTGGATATTATCCAACAAGGAGCCCAAAATGCTCTCCCAGGCTTCTTTTACCTCCTTGTCATATTGAGTTTCCTACGCCCAACATACGTTGAACTTGAAGTAGTTACTCTGGGAGGAAGGGCAGAGGGAAGACCGGATAACAACAAGAATATAGCCTTATGGTCTGAATAGGTGGTGGGAATGGTGCTAGCACTGCAGTTAGGGAACACCAATCTCCAGTTTAAGGAGGTAACAAAATGATCCAGACACTCCCTGATATGGCTGCACGACTCTTTTCCGCTGAACCAAGTAAACCACCCAGTACTCGGACGAATCTCCTAGAGATCGTCACCTCGAAGATAGTTTCAAAAATCCTCTATATGCACATTTAGGTGTCTTCTACCTCCAACGTTCTCCGAATGATGCAATATCTCATTGAAATCACCTCACAAGCACCACGTGATAGGTGAGGTGGTGGAGAGTGAAGAAATCAAATCTCAATTCTCTTACTTTTGGGCACAAGCATACTGACCATAAAAACCAGTGAAGCAAAATCAATTATCAACCTAGAGAACTTCAGCATCGATGTGGATACTCGAAAAGCTAAGTAGGTTGATGGAGACTTCCTCTTTCCAAATCAAAATCAACCGAACATAATTATATAATCGTTCAACTGTTAAACAACCTATCATCTTAGTGGATATCCTAATTTTTTCCACCTTATTTTTCTGTAGCTTAGATTTAGACACAAAAACTAGTATCGAGTCCTTTTTAGAGATCAATCTCTGCAACTCACGAACTATTGTTGGGTCCCAAGCCCTCGACAGTTTTAGCACATAGCGATCATGGAGATCGACGGGGTTGTGAGTCAACTTATACCGCTAAAAAGTTATCTTCGGGTTGGAAAATCAACGACTCATTAGGATCTTTCTCT